GAGAGAGAGAGAGAGAGAGAGAGAGAGAGAGAGAGAGAGAGAGAGAGAGAGAGAGAGAGTACTTTTCGGACAGGAAAGGTGAACTTTTCGGACTATCACAACTGACACAAAGGCGAATAAGGTTGTCGAATGGGGTCCAATGCAATATCTCTCAATATGCAGTATCGATGTACCGGTCCAGAAGTAAGTCGAGGGGACTGCAGTCGATACGGCGTAGATAGGCCGTTGTCTCGGACGGGGGTGATACCGACATCCTGTTAGGCGAGTATTTTTTCAAGTTGGATGGAATGTGGTGAACGGTATCGCTTCATGTACGTCAGTATATTGACATCCCAATTTAACAAGAATTCGTATGTTGAGCCGAGAAACCTTTCGGATATTCGTGCTCCATTCCGTGTGATTGAAATTAACTTTTTTGAAGTACTTTTCGTTAAATAACTTGTCTTGTGCCGTTGTCTTTTGTGCCATCTCCTGTTCGAATACACCTTCACCTTTTTCGAAGCCGGAGTTGTCTTGACGATTGTTCTGTATCTACGTCTCGATGTGGAGAACGTAGGCCTAGCTGGGAATGTGGTGAGATCATTAGATGTGCTTGGGACAGGCAATGGACTCAATGGAGACAAGTGTATTCACGAGATGTAAACTAACGTAACCTTTTACATTCATTGAAACGGAAACATGAAGAACCTACCCCAGAAAACGTAAAAGCAAAACTGCAGCTGTCTGGACAACGCACACTTCTCTTTCGAGGATGGAACTAAGTCTCTATTCCAAAGGGGATGCCGAGGTCCGAATGATGAATGAGGGAATACTCCAGCATATATGGTTAATGTATGGGACACTTCTTCCTCTTGCGTTTTCTTCCCAAGTGGAATCCTGTGATTGCATTAGCAACATGGAACCGAGGGAGGGGACCTCACAATTCTACCTGGACTGGGCCAATAGCCAGCTTTGGCTGATGCTGGGAACCGGGTCAAGTGTCCCATACATTCAGCATTTGGACCTTGGCATCTCTTTCGGAATAGACATTGACCATATATGCTGGAACTCTCTCTCTCTCTCTCTCTCTCTCTCTCTCTCTCTCTCTCTCTCTCTCTCTCTCTCTCTCTCTCTCTCTCTCTCT